CCAGAGAGAGTATTGTTGTACACTTGTAGGACCTGTAAATGCGGAAGCTTAGAAATGGAGTCTGGGATTATACCTGTCAACCTGTTCCCAGACAGATCCAAGTCTACGAGATTAGTCAGGTTTCCTAGTTCCTCTGGAATTTCGCCCTCAAATTGGTTGTAATAAAGCTCAAGCATTTCAAGATTCCTTAACATCCCCAACTCGACAGGAATCTTCCCCACCATAGCATTATCACTCAATTCAAGGTCCACCAAATGCGTGATCTCCCCTATTGACGCTGGAATCTTTCCATGCAAATTGCAAGTCGTTAAGACCATGTACTTGAGCTTTCTCAGCCCAGATAGGTTAGCAGGGAGTTGCCAGGGGTCAAAACCGCCATTCTCATTAAAGTTGAGAGCTTGGATATTGCTGAGGTTGGTGATTGCCGACATAGGAAACGCACCTGTAAAGAGGTTGTAGGACAGATCAAGCGACCTCAAAGCTTGCATAGGCGTCAGGTCCGGCAATGTGCCTGTTACATATGTGCGGGTCATGTTTAGCTCTTCTAGGACAGAGCAGTTGGTGATGCTGGCAGGGAAGTGACTTCCATGGAAATGATTGCGGCCGAGGCGAAGGAATCGCAGCTTTGGCAAATAAGTACAGACATCTTCTGGGAACCGGCCAAATAATGACCGCCCAAAGATATCAATCTGGAAAACATCACCATGGTCATCGCATCTGATCCCTGAATAGTTGCAAAGAGGTTTTCCGTCCCAATTAGCCATGAAGTCCCCTTTCAGGGACTTCTTCATGAGATCAAAGAACTCAGACTGGTTGTGTCTGGCGCTCTGATACGAGCCTGTCACGGATAATAACAGCAAAACGGAGAAGAAAATTTGTGGGATAGACATCAAGAAGAAAGAAAAGAACTAATTAAGAACTCATTAAGAGGAGGGTAGTTGCATTGGTTCATTAGTGGCATAGAGAAGAGATTATATATAAATGGGGTGCATGATAGACATGAGAATATGTACCTTTGCATAAAGAAGCCTTTCTTTATACCCAACAAGATTAAAGCTTCTAACTCCTACTATTGGGGCCCTTAGCTCTCTTAGCCTTACAAACATGTATATCTTGTACTAAACCAAATATTCTAATTTAAGATTTTTTCTGCCGGCTGTTTTATTTTATCAGCAATTTTAGTTGGGTGATAAACCAAAAAAGTTACCAAGAAAGGCGGGGCCTCCACCAAAGCCAGTCTCAAATCAGGGAGTATGGTTTGTATAGGGGAGAAAAGTGCACGGATGTGTAGCATTATAATCCTATTATCAATGCTCTGTTATAAACAAAACATCATTCATTTCCAAAGACTGCAAAATTGAGAGTGACGTGCATTTGTGTTTCTTCATTGATTGGGTTCTGTTTTTTACTGGACAGGTGAACGCTTAAGCCCTTGGGTGGCAGTGGGATGCTTGACAATGGGTGTTTCAGTAATCTTCTTCTGAGAAATAATCTAACCAGTGTCTGTTGTTTGTTAGTGGGTGGTATTATCAAATATATGTAGCTCAGTCTTCATCAAAGGCTCATACTTCAACATCTTCAATGAATCCATTGATTCTGGAAATGATTTTCTTATAAGTTCTTTTAGACCATTGACCCTTATTAATGCTGTTTGGTATTAATAGTTCTTTCCCCTATCACCCTATGTAATGTTGGAGTTGAGCTTAGGTTGAGGCCAACCAGTAAAATTACACATTATTTGAACAGGGCATGTTTTGTTGATGGGAAGGAATAAAGCAGGAATAGAGTGAGACAAGCATTTGTGGCGAATAAAAAAAGATCAAACTTTGTAGTTTAGTTGGTGTGAATGGACCTTGAACAATGGATAAAAGATTAAAAGCACAATGGATGAAAGAACATTAAAGGAAAAGTTCAAGATATTTTTGCCGCACGTATGTGGAAATAATGGAATTAATGCTCGCTTCTTTGTAAAAAAAAAGACTCTTATTTGAACATGGAATTGGAGTAACAAATGGCGAATGGACAGAATAAATATGGGCATCTCATATTCTCACTCGGCCAGTGCACGCAACTGCCTATAGGAATTTATGGAAAGTCACTGGAAATGTTACGTTAAATAATGCAAAAGGTAAAAATTTCCGGAAAACTATCGCTTTCCATGACTCAAGGCGTCCCTACTACCGATAGTGATATTTGATCGAGTAAATATATGAAGCATGTTAATGTGCTCACTACGGAGCACGTTGGCATGATTAATGGTCAGGATTCACTCATTTAAAAATGTGGGATAATCTGGGCCATCATCACACCAACGTGCTCCGTAGCGAGCACGTTCGCGACTTCGCGTGCTCGATATATATATATATATATATATATATATATATATATATATATATATATATATATATATATATATATATATATATATATATATATATATATATATATATATATTTGGTCACTTCTTTGAAATATTTTAAAAGTAGTTATGTCCTTATTCATTAAAGTTATTTTTGTAATATTAGAGGAAAAATTTAAGATAAGTTACAACTTTTGTGCACTGTTTTTTACGAGTCAGGCACTCAGGCACTCAGGCACCATATCTCCTATTCCACGCATCTTTATGTGTCACCCTAATTCCTAGCTAATTAATTATTAGCTTAGCCAAAAATAATAATAATTAAACTTCTATCTAAAAAGGCAAATTCAGAACGCCATAAATAATCAATCAGAAGGCCAAATCAGACCGAGAGCCATCCATGGTTGCGTTTGGAGAATCTTAAAATGTTCTCCTGATTTACATTATAAATGTGGGATGTCACTTTTCAACCTCGTCATATGATTAATTAAAAAGCCTCTGAGTCGATAATCCATCGAGGGGAATGAAAGGTTTCTTAAAAGCTTTTGGGTTGTACCCTCCTTTTGCTTTGTCATTATCCTACTCTTATCTTAATTACATGCCTCATTCTTGTAATAAAGTTGTTTCCTTTTTGAAGTTGTTTAATGCATTTATACTTTATTTTCAAGTTCTATCCAAAGACGCAAGTAAAATAATGTCTCAAGTTTATCTGTAAAATCTTTGGCGACTACACAGTTGGAAGAACGGAAAAGCTGTTAGATTTCAAGCTCTCCAAACAAAATTCAATAGATATTTTTTCAATTGATATAATATAGTGTAGTGTGGTGAAACAATGTTTTCAAGCTCTCACTAGATCTCCAAACTCAAATATCCTATGAGTGTAGTGTCATGGTTACTTAGGGATGACCCCGTTAGCCCTCAACATTTAAACAAAGCACACTTAGCTTAAATATTAATCACATTTAAGTAGTCACATTTTTTATTTAAATATCACACACATGTTAATTAATGTTTTTACCAGTATAATAAAGTGTTTTAACTAGTATAATAAAGTAGTCAAATTTTTTATTCCAGTTGTTACATAAAATATATCAAATTTCATAATTTTTTATTATATTTCATACGAAACCAGTATTGGAGTGGAAGGAATAAACAAATATGAAGTAGTTGACGGAATAAACCTCAACAGCTAGTCATATTTGAAATAGTGCTCATATTTTATTGAAGTAGTCACATTGTATGAAGAAGACGTAGAATATGACATTCTCAAATGCTGGAAGGACAAAGAAGCAATGTTTTTTTATTTTACCAACAATGGCGGAACAAGTCATATACATTCTGATTTCAACGATTGTTGTAATTGCCTCCGTCCCAGTTTATGTGTCTCACTTTGACTTGGCATAATTATTAATAAAGTGATTGAAAAATTAAAAGTTGTAATTGAGATTCGAGTACAATAAGGTGAAATTTTATACTATTAAATTATTAGCCAATTCGGGAAAAATGTGAAACAGGGACCGGGACTAGACCGGCCGGTTTGGGACCGGTCTCAACACGAAACCGCACGAAACCGATTGGATCGTATCCATCTTATGATCACTTGAATATAAAAAATAAATATGAATTACCATGATCGAAATTATTATTGCAATCACTAGACTTGAGAGGTCACATTTTTATTACCACTCTTTATTTTATTCATGAATTTATAATTATTACTTGTTTTATCAATACGTGCACTAAAGCAATAACATTAAAAACGAACATTTTTTCTTTGGAAAAAACATTAGGAACGAGCATAGAAACCTAGAAAGTATGTTACATTATAATTGTAATGGGCTTCAATAGAACTACTAAACATTTTTTAAAACACTCAAATCATTTGATGTTACATGGCTCATGCTTTTGGAGTTTTGGTAACCTATTCAATGTAAATAAATAATTTGATACAAATAAAATCATCCCCATACTTTCTTTTTTACTCATATATACACACTATGAATTTACTAAAACATACGTAGTAATTCATTTCCAAAAATTGAATCAAGTAGTTTACAATTTTTAAATGAGAATTTTTATTTGTGATTGAATAAAAATATCCTTATAAATTAAAGTTGGTGCCCCTGCTGCCCAAGCCACCGGACCGCCATCCTAATTCAATTCTCTCACGGACTGCCAGGATTTCAGCCACCACCGCAGCCAGAATTTTGCGCCGCCGCCGGAATGTTTTGGGGCCACCACAGATTACCTCGTCACCAAAGGACCGCACTGGTTGTGTGAGTGAACTACGTGAATAATTAATTAGACCTATTTAGGAAAAACTAAATATATGACCATATTTTTGAAAGAAACGTATGTTATAGTCCCAGTTTGAACAATTTTCTCTCGTCAATTCGCAACTCGATCACAGTATTTTCTAGGAGTCTAGGATTACGAGTCTATGAAGTTGCTCGTGGGTCCAATACACTGGTTCGTTCGCATATTTAGAATGTTTTCTTTTGGACTGAAATTTGCTGATCTGGTCTGGTCTGTTTAAGTCTGGTCTGGTCTGGTAAACGTCTGGTCTCTGTGTATTTTATAACTAAGAAATTCAGGTATGGTCTGGTCTGGTCTGTTTAAGTCTGGTCTGGTCTGTTTAAGTCTGGTCTGATCTGAGACTGAAAACAGTCCAAAAGAAAACATCCTTAAAGGTGTTAAGGTTACTTGTGTTGCACTCAAATTATTAGTTAAGTCAAATTATGGAGAATCAACTATTAAAAGGATATTTAGAATGTCATTCATTAGATTAATAAGAAATGCCCAAAATGGAACTAAAACATTGGCAAAATTCATAAATAGGAGTATAATTTTATTATTCCTTAAATAGGACTCCAGATTACGATTTTGCCCCCCCCCCCCTATTCACCAAAAATCACCGCCTTAGACAAGCATATTGAAACTAGATCTACGATCGGCATCTTCCCGATTTGGGAGTTGCGATTGCGATATTCTTCCCTTTGACCTCATGACAAGTTCACATGACAGTTACTAGCTGCTCAATTTCTCTGGCCCAAAAATATTTGTGGATTGAGCTATGATCTTCCGACTGGTTACTAGCCACTCAATTCCTCCAGGGAAGCCAGATAACCCTCTTTTCCTTTTCCTCCTCTTCTAGCTCTGTTCTGGTTCTCTGCTTTTTGTTTTTTTGTTAATCTTATATCAATCAAATTCTAAATGAAAATTTAAATTTGAATTTTAAAGTTTCAAATGAAAAGCTAGATTTCTACAAAGAACAAGTAATCGGATATATCAAAATGCCCTGACCAATGACTCAAAAAATGTCACTTTTTGAAATTTGAATCAGAGAATCTGAGAATTATTGGTTATTTGAAAAAATGTCACTTTTATGTCATTACAATATTTGAAAATGTCATACTAAGAATGTCATGTTTCTATATGTAATTGTCAATATTGTGTCATTATGCATTTCAAGTAGGATTCTCACATATCAAGTGACATTCTCACATATTGAGAATGTCATGTTTCTTTATGAAATTGTTAGTATTTTGTCATTACCATTTCAAGTGACATTCTCGCATATCATGTGGCATTCTCGATGGAGGTTACAGTAACTTGGCAGATAGCTTTGTGCCTTTGTCAGAGGATGGCCGCGGCAACTCAGCAAGCTCCGTAGAGGCAACAGACTTGTTGGATTGAAACACTAGAGGATGGTTGTCACACATGTCTGGAGGATAGCTCGGCACATGTTTGGATTTTGGAGGACGGTTGCAATGTGCAAAAAGAATATTAGGGCAGTTTCATTAAGGTCATCCAAACACAAATATTAGGTCCTATTTAGGGAATTTGAAACAATATGTCATGTTTTTAGGAAATCTTTCTAGATTCATTTCAATTCAATTAAAAACATTCTTAATTGATAAATTTAGTCAAGTAGGTTGGACAGGTGATGTTTTCGCACCTAAATTGATGGGGAGATTGCTTATATAGCACTTGCTGCAATAACAATCCGTCATCCAAGATATGAGAGGAATACTTTGCAGCTCTATACAAATGCTCTTTATTCAGGAGAGGAATGTCATCTATGGAATAAAGTTCAAAAAAACAAAAACAAAACTATAAAATTAATATATTACAGATTCCTATAGAGCTTGTGCTCCATAGTACACATGTCGTAGTGGCGTTTGTAAAACCAAACCCACCCTTCATCGATCACTCACTCTAATCCTTCTGGAAGAAAGAAAGCACGAAATCGGTATGTACAGAGAAGAGCTGTGTGTCCACGAAAAGCTGTTTCAGACCATTCAAAGAAAGAAGAGCGCATTAGCTACTTCAGATTGATTTTCACCCACCCGAATCATACGGTTGCATTAAGTAGTGCACATACCTTCATAAAAGGTCGATCTCGGTAGGGGAAAGATTCAATGAAACTTTCCTTCAATAGCAAAGATACCTGAAAAAATTAACATTTAAGTAACCTCCTCCCACCGCACACTAATAAGGTACAGACAAATTCCATTCCAAAACGGGTCCGATTTAAAATTGCTTCTTTTGTCCCAAATGTAACTCTTTGATCCAAAAAACATGCAGCTTTCCAAAAAAATGTCACCCTAAAACATGCATTAAAAGTTTTAGTTGAAGCTTGAAAGTCGGGAAAGATTAAAAACAAAAATGCAAGTAAAATCCAGGATTTATGACAATTGTAAGTTGCCAAAATTGAGACGTTGTACATAGGTAAAAAATAAATCTTTTCGTGAGACAGGTGGATATTTTTTTCACCATTACGCTAATCTTCAGTGACACTGAACACAGAGGGAGTACTACCTTGTCATTATTTGATTGAACATTAGTGATGGTGTGACATCTGAGATTAGAGCAAAGCGAATCCAGGTATGACCTCAACACTCTTAGGAAACCCTTTGCAGCATCAACCTAGAAGAGAGGCACAACAGTTAACATCATCCCTGTGGTTGAAGAAAATTTGGAGGTTAGGGGGTGAGGATGGGAAGGACTTACCTGGACCTCTGTGCAGTCATAAACCGGCCGCTTCTTTCCCAAATAACTCTCTCCCACAAGCTTTGCATGGTATGGACTTAAGCGTGAGTATAATTCCTTATGCTGGGGTAGTTGTGGTATCGAATGCGACTTCACCTAATAATCATTGGAAAGAAAACAGTTATAATTTATAAATATTGAGGCAAGTCAATATATATATGATTCCGTGTGTTGCAAACGTGTAAAAATGCATCATATCGTCTATTCTCTTCGACATGTGTTTTCTAGTCTGGTTTGATTTTACGTGAAATAGAACAGGTTCAAATTCTCTCTGCTAAAATGAACTTCTCCTTTAAATCAAACCTACACCGGCGGCTACACGTGCATCTTTGCATACCTGGTTCTTGTTAGCATCAACAACAATGGCATTTGTTAACTTTGACTGCACTTCAGAGCCTTTGTTCTTCACACCTACCTACTCGAATAAATAAAATATTAACATAACACAAAAAAAGAATGTGGGGTTGAGAAACAAAGTCGAAAAGTTTATTTAATTGAAAGCAGTGTGGTAAGAAGCGCAAGACACCCATTTGGTATCAGCATGAAGGCCTAGTCATGAGAGTTAGGTGGAGCTAAGAGGAAAAGGAAAAATCATTTATTAGAAAAAAACTCACGATATAGGGAACAGGTGCATCCAAAAAATCGAGCATGTCATTTGGCAAAACCTGGATATTCAAGTGTTATTAATGATTAAAGTCATCCGAAAAGAGCAATGAATGGGTGGGGGGAGCATTTACCGGCATTAACCAGCTCTCCCACTGGTAAGGACGTATAAGTGGAATAATGGACATAACACAAGCGGATAACACACCCTGCATATTCCATTAGGGGGAAAGTGAATAACACATTTGCTTTAAAAGCAAGGAAATTCCTACAGATTCACATAAGCCTGACTCTGATCATACATATAAATACATACATACATATATATATATATGTGTGTGTGTGTGTGTGTGTGTGTGTATAAATATACACATATGTATAAATACACACATATAAACAGCAAAATATGTTAAGTTTGACACACACACACACACACACACATATATATGTAACAGAAAAATAAAAGTAAATTCATCAAATAAAAAGGGGAGAAGTAAGGGGTACTCACTAAGTTCGAACAAACTATAACGATTTGCTTTTCCAAAAGAGCTCCTGCAAACAGTGTCAAGACCTGTAGCATGCATGTATGATGAGATGCCAAGAATCGTCATTCATTGCTCATTTAAAGAGAAATGAAAGTTAAGTGCATGTTTGGTAGACATTTTTCAGCTATTTTGACCTGAAATATTTCATCACTACACTGGGAATCATTTAAAAATGAAAAAAGTTGTTCTTTCTGGCTGAAATTACTGAAAACTAGAGAACGGCACTTCAACCTTTATTTTATAGATATTTTCCGTAAGGTGTTTTTAAATATTTGTATTTTAGATAATTTTACAGATCCTGCTAATTCAGTCACTTCAACCAATTTAGACTATATCAAACAGGCTATAAACTTTGAATACAACTCCTAAGATCCTCTAGTCGAAATGAAGTTATAAGCTTAAAATTATGTTCATACGTATTCCAGTCGCAAGGAACCACATAAACATGCAATAGCCCACACTGATAAAGCAGTTGCCTCCTCTTCCACCATAAGGGCATTATGGGCCTGAAAAAACAACCAAATCGGGTGGTTATAATACAACATCAACCAAGCCTTAGTCTCAAAAGAGTTTGGGGTCGGCTAACATGAATCAACGTATGACATTGGAGTTAAAAAGGATAAAAAGAGAAAGGGAAAACTATCAAATAAGCCCCCGTATGTTAGGGATTGGGTCTAATGGACTGTTAGGGATTGGGCCTAATAAACCTAGAATAATAACAAGTGTAATAGTTAGTATAAATAGACTAAATTGGGGAGAAGTCAGGTAGGCTGTTTTAGACTTGTGTCTTGGGACTTTGGGAGATCGAGAACTTTCTCTTTCTTTTGGGGGGCTTCGGCTCATTGGGGGCTTCGGCCATAGTTTGTTTCTTGTTACAGATTCTTGTTCAACGATAATAAAGTTTGATTGTTTTTCTTGATACTCTTCTACACTTTCTTCTTGTAATTGTGTGATTTCTGGAGATCTCTATCATTGGTATCAGAGACTGTCGATTCTGTGAATGGTTGGAACGCGGAAAAAGATGGAGGGACGAATCACAGAGATTGAAAGAAATCAGAGGGAATCAGATACGAAGTATGATGAGATGTTAGCGATGTTGACGGCAATGAAGGCTGGCATCGCTGAACTCCAAAACAGGAATTCCGATCGATCCAGAAGTAGATCGCACCATTCTACTTCTTCGCATCGTACAACTCACCGTAGACATACGAGGAATCATGAAAGCTCTGAAGGTTCGGATAACAATTCCGATCATTCTGCCTCGCTTCATGGTCGCGAACGACACAGGCATCACAGAAACCAACATCCGGCTGGGAGGAAAATTGATTTGCCAATTTTCAATGGAGAGGACGCCTGTGGATGGTTAGTAAGAATGAACCGGTATTTCCGATTGAACCATACGGACGAAGAAGACAAAATAGATGTCGCAGTTGTTGCCCTGGAAGATCAAGGTCTGAGCTGGTTTCAATGGTGGGAAAGACAAGCTCAACATCAGACCTGGGAGGCATTTACTGCTGCCTTATCCAAACGATTCCAACCAGAATTTGTGCAAGATCCTTTGGGACCTTTACTCAGTTTGAAGCAAAAAGGAACGGTGACGGAGTATAGGGATAAATTTGAGACTGCCATTGCTTCACAGGGCCACTTAACTGAAGAAGTTTTGAGAGGGGTTTTTGTTAAGGGTTTACAGCGTCATATAAGGGCAGAACTGAAGTTGTATCGCACCAGAACTTTGGCAGATGTGATGGATACAGCTTCCTTGATAGAGAAAAAGAATTCTGAAGCCTTATATGTGAAGAATAAAGAGGAAGGAAAGAGGAAAGGGCAGAATAAACCTATCGTCCAGTCTTCAGGACAGAAATGGGAGGATGAAAGCAGGTGGAAAAGCCATCCTTACACTTCTGTTAGTGTGGGCAAATATTCAGGGGATTCTAAGAGCAATGAAGATAATAAGGGCTGGAATTTCAGAAAGGAAGGTCCCAGTTGTGTGTCTAAGAATACAAGTCCCAGGTTATCCCAAGAAGAACTAATGGACAGAAGCAAGAAAGGACTCTGTTTTAAATGTGGTGAAAACTGGAATCGGGGTCACGTTTGTAGAATGAAAAATTTTAAGATGATGCTAGTAGAACAATCCGAAGGGGAGGAGGAATCTGATACTGACTGTAATAGAAGTAAGGGAGAAGAAGGAATACATATGGAAGTTAAGACTATGCAATTATCTGTACTGAACAAAGAAGGAACACCACCCATGAGAACATTCAAGGTTCTGGGAGATCTGAAATGGCTGACTGAGGAAAAGAAGGTGAATATTTTAATTGATAGTGGTGCTACCCACAACTTTATTTCCCAGCAACTGGTAGAAAGATGGAAGATACCTTTCCAAAGTATCAAGGCATATATGGTACAAATAGGCAATGGAGAATTGATTCCTAACTGCGGTAGATGTGAAGGAATGAAGCTGAATGTACAGGGAAATGAAATTCAACAGAATTTTTATATGTTGGAGCTTGGTGGGACTGACATGGTGCTAGGATTGGAATGGTTGACTGATCTAGGTGTTATGGAAGTTAATTTCCAAAACCAGATCATAAAATGGAAGAAACAAGGGCTGAATCATGTTATTCAAGGTGATGGGTATTGGTTGTACTGTGAAGGACAAAGCACAAAGCAGAAGCAAGAACAGATAATTGAAGGCAGAAGGAACAAGATTACAAAGGAGTATACTGAAATTTTCAAGTCAATTCTGGATAAAATATCATGGCAGTTGTGTAATTCGGCTGTGAAATACATTGGAAAAAAGATGGAATCAGCCAAGCTAACGGTCCAGAAATCATGCCAGTATTGGAAAGGAAGAAGTGCTAGGATGAAAGAAAAGATAAAGATTGGGGCTGTGTCCTATCACCCACCTTGAGGGCAAGGTGGATGTTTAGGGGGGGAGTATTGTTAGGGATTGGGTCTAATGGACTGTTAGGGATTGGGCCTAATAAACCTAGAATAATAACAAGTGTAATAGTTAGTATAAATAGACTAAATTGGGGAGAAGTCAGGTAGGCTGTTTTAGACTTGTGTCTTGGGACTTTGGGAGATCGAGAACTTTCTCTTTCTTTTGGGGGGCTTCGGCTCATTGGGGGCTTCGGCCATAGTTTGTTTCTTGTTACAGATTCTTGTTCAACGATAATAAAGTTTGATTGTTTTTCTTGATACTCTTCTACACTTTCTTCTTGTAATTGTGTGATTTCTGGAGATCTCTATCACCGTACTATGCCGAAAAAGTCGATTAGGCCCTCGTACTTTACAAACACTCAATTAAGTCCTCGAACTATTAAAAAACGTTCAATTAAGCCCTTTCGGTCGGTAAGTAACCGGTTTCCCAATTAAAAAAGGAGATAAACAAAAAACAGGTGGTGTAATGATCCATCAAAGTTACAAAAAGCCCCAAACTTCTAGTTTATCTTAACCACAAACATTCAAAATCTGTAAATGTACCTCTGCAAGCTCCAAACTAGTACTGCATGACTTTAAGTCAAATGTTGATCCGGCAATATGTAAAACTGTTTCGTCAGGCCTATAGTATTCCAAAGGATGCAAGTGTTCAAGAGGATGGAACTTAATTGCCGAACCACGTGCAGGTAGGTCAAGCTTGTAGTATTCGCATATTATTTGCAAAGAACCATGGTGACAGTCCTGCAACTTGAATGTGATGAATGGGAAGTGCTAAGAGCCTTGGCACATTTAAGAAAGGACAGTATCTAATCGATAAAAAGAACAAACCTTAGCCCATTCCAGAATATCACTATTTTGACTGGATTCATCTTGTCCTGAAAAAGATACTTCTGTATCTGCTTCATCAATGTCACTCCTGATATGCCTATCCTCACTTGGAGACCCCTGAAAACTGCACCATAGTAATTATAAAGAGTGAAGACTATATCAGTCTTTAGGTTAGAAAAGTTTGGCTGTATATGAAGATAACAGAGGTGCAAAGGTTGTTTCTTTTTAGTTATATTTTTAAGGCTAAAGGGTCAAATAGGTACATGAACTAACTTAAAGTGTTCAATTAGCCCCTTATAGAGGAGGTTCTGCCCGGCCGTCACCAATTGGGGCAGTTCCCGGTTGATTTTTTTTATGAAATTTTTTTAGCATCTTCTTCATTAAGTCTAGTTTACCCATATCAAATTTCAGCTAAAAATTAAATCGGGAAGACAGTTGAATGATTTTAAGAAATGTACTGCGCTCTTTAACTGCGCAGTTATCTTCAAAAAATCATTTCACTGCCTTCCCGGTTAAATTCTTAGCTGAAATTTGGTATGGGTAAACTAGACTTAATATAGAAAATGCTCAAAATATTTCATCGAAAAATTCCACCGGGAACCGCCCCAATTGGCGAATGGCGACGGCCGGGCAGAACCTCCTATATAAGGGGCTAATTGAACACTTTAAATTAGTTCATGTACCTATTTGACCCTTTAGCCTATTTTTAAAATATGGAAACAAAACCACTTTTCATCCCCAAGACTAAAAGGTCATTTCCGCTTTTGGTTCCACAATTCCACTTATAAACAATAGTCATGTAACAAATGACCAATAATTGCTGGATTAGAGGTCGTAATACTCGTAAATGACCAAAAGTGGCAAAATTACAGTCATGCACGAAAAGTAGAGAAATGAAATTTATAGATAAAAAATGAGAATGGCCTAATAGTCATGAGACCATAAATGGAACTTTTCTATAATTTATTTCTTGGTTTAACTATGTTAATTATATTACCTAATACTCCCTCCGTCCCAAGTAAAGGTTCTCACTTACTCTTTTGGATGTCCCATTTAAAGGTTCCTATTTCCATTTTAGGAAATAATAATTCACTCTTAAATGACAATTACTCATCACATACTAAAATTAACACACCCATAACATCACAATTATTATCAACTATCCCGTTATACTATATACCCACCCAAACTATTTCTCAAACTATACTCAAATTACCTTTTTTAATTATTGTTTAAAGTGTGTCATTTTTTAATGAGTAGCTTAAGCGGGACATAGGTAGTAGTAGTAATTATTGAAATAGGAATCTTATATTTTAACAGTTATTTATCCTTAGAAGATGTAGCATAACATTTTACAAGTTGATGAGTGAAGGCTAAAGAAGCAGCATCTTTTACAAAGAGAGATAATGTACCTATATGAAGAATCTGAGCTCTCGTATTGATGATATCGCAAAAGAGGCAAGATAGCATTTGGCATATTCCTCTCAACCAAATTTCTGTTATCTTCAGTATCAATTCTTTGTGATCCATTTATTTCTTCTTTATGATCACGGTCCTTCTCTGTGTCCCCATCACTGCTAATTTCCTTCAAAGAGGAGAAACTATTCTTAGTTTCATAGTGTCTCTCTATGTCACCATTACTAGCCTCATTTGAAGGAGGGCAAGCTTCCCTCTTAGTTTCATCAACAGGACAAGATTCTGTTACTGTTGTAACTGATTCTGTTACCGCTGTAACTGATTCTGTTACCACTGCAACAGACACACTTCTGCTTGATCGACAATTGTCAACAGTAGCAGTTCCATCCAGCTGAGTGTGTTCCTTATCTTCAGATGAAATGCAGGGAGAATTTTCTCCACACACGTCTTTATCAGTGAAAATTGCAGAGGAATTTATATCAAGGTCGCCAATTTGTTTTGTTAATCGCTCCAACCTCTCCTCGATGAAGATGCTATCACAGATGAAGTGATGCAGGTGATAAGATGTTATTCATATTGATACAGGAGAGATAATAAGTTCTAACACTAGGCATGCTGATGAATAAAACAGAAGAAATATTCATATACCTATTCAGTACACCAAAATGGAGTTCAAAATATGGGAGCCTGGAAAGAATACAATAACAACGGCGTGTGGTTAAAATGTGGCGACTCAGGCCAATCTGAACAGGCTGTACTTCTGACATCATAGAAATCAAGCTAGAAGGTTTTTGTACTATTTCATCAACTAATACGCAGCAACCATAAAGGGTTGAATTGTCCGCAACCTATGAAAGGAACATTGTCACTTGTCAGATTGCATGAAACACTCAATGGAAGTAAATCCAAAAGTTCAAATATGTTTTATATTGCAGATAAACTGAAATAGGGTAATACCTGAAGCCTAAACACGAATGACTGGTCGCTTTGTTTGAGGTGCTCCTGCAAAGTTAACAACACATTAACTGTGTGTTTGGTAGAGGTGAAAACATGAAAAGGAAAATGAAGGAGAGAAGGTGGGGTGTTGATAGATATACATCAAACTGACAGTAAAGTGAAGTAGAATTAAAGATGGAATTGATGAACTGAAAGGATAACGATACAATGGAGACACTTCGAGTAGTCTCCAGCACTCCCAAGACCGTAGTCCCAAATCTGATTTCTGCCTAACTCCTTCTTCCCTCCTTCCCACTCCTATATAGTAATTATATTCTAACGGGCCAGCCCATATTTTATGACATGGCCCAAAATCTGTTTTACACATTACCACACTTATTTAATATAAATCTATTACTACTATTATTATTTTCTATAGCCCAGGGCCCTATCATATCTCCCCCCTTGAAAAACCACCTTGTCCTCAAGGTGGGTGATAAGAGACAGCCTTGATCTTCCACTTCATCTTCATCCTGGCACCTCTCCCTTCCCAATACATTGTTGATTTTTGTATCTTTAGCTTCAGCACTTGACCCTTCCTCCTCACTTCCTCAGACCAGCATTTTTCTAAGGTCTTCCCAGCCTTTTCATAGAGCTCATTGTTGTCCCGAATCTGGAAATTAGCAGTCTTGTCTAGTCCTTCAAAATTGTCAGCCATCTGCACATATAATTTGACCCCACTATTCAGCCCAACTACTTTGTCCCCTTGTTCTACTTTCCAAATGTTCTCCAGACCTTCCAGGTATGCAGTAACAATTCTTGGATCTTGACAGAAGAAGAGATTAGAGAGCATCTTAATGCAGCCGTTACTTGCCCAGCACATAATCTGATTATGAGAGCCTCCTGATGTGGCCTTATGGATAGCATTTGCAGCTTCTTCCTTGATGTCAACTTCTTCATTTTGAAAGAGGTGTACCAAAGGAGTAATGATATATGTCTCAATCCTTGGCTTTATCTGATATCTACTCCCAGCAGTGATATTAGATGTTAGCCAGCAAACTTCATTCCAAACTTCTTCTTCTCTCATATGGATGAATGGCTGAAGGACTGGCAATACAACTTTGATTAGGGCAAATGGTGTTGGTGGCTTGCCTAGACAGAAGTTTAACAAATTCCATGTAGCGTTTCTCATCATGGAAAGCTTTTCAGGCTCATTTAACTGTCCTAGCATTGGTAAGAGTGAATCATGACCAATATCCCGGTTCCTACCGTTTGAATCATCACCCGCAAAACCAACTAATTTTGTAGAGGATGCAAGAGCTACATGTCTTACTTCAGCTCTAACCTGCCAATTGCCCCCCACACAACCTTCACCAATTCCTGTAATATTCCATAAAGCTATAGCCAGTTTATGCTTAATATCAAGCCCAATAGATGCAGTGACTTCATCTTGAAAGGAAGCATGTCCACCTAGTGCAATGGCTTTTGCTACCCCACCCAACCTTCTTTTCTCACAATCCATGTGTAATAGACTTGGAATCATACTGGCTGAATCAATATGAGTTGATAATACAGTTCTATCTGAAGTTTTAAGATCTGCAGTTATCAGATCAACAACTAACAAACTGCCACCAACCAATACAGATTTCATCAATACCTCGCTTAGGCCCTGTGCAACTTCAACACTTGTTTCTTCGAGCAAAGTAGGCTTTGAAAATGAGCTGGAATTGGCCTCAACATTTTCTGCGCCTTCCGGATTATCTGGTGGTCGTCCTGTGGGTTGAATATAATCATCCTTTGTCTCCAGAAACGTGTAAGGAATGCCATAGATAGCTGGAAATGTGGTACTTGCAATCAACTCCTTAGAACCTTCACCATTAGGAACTCTAGGAGCAGATTGCCCCGGCTTTGGAGAAACAGTTCCTAGTGAGAATGCACCAATTCCTGTCCCGGGTAGAAAGGACTGTGATTGATACATTAAAGGATTGAGCCCAGTTGGAGGGACAAAAACATCAGGCCCAATAGTCATCTCATCATGATCTGATTTCCATGCCAGTGCTTGAATCCTCTTTTCCTGAGTTTTATCTGTGACTTTTCCCTCCTCTAGTTTCCTTGAGGGTTGATCCTTCACTTTGCACGCACGAATTCCATCTGTATCCCTCTCAGGGGTTTTTGAACCTTCATGATGAATTGGATAAACATCTGGAGCTGGTTCCATGATAGATGGTTCAGCCGGCTTCAACTCAGAATTCATTTTCAGCAAGGCAGTCCCTGGAGAGGAAACTTGAGCACTGAGAGGAGCCGTTCGAGACTGTGAGCTGGATGGAGACAATAGCTTTGGATTCAGGGACCTACGAAACGATGTCAGCCACTGAGACGACATCTGCGAACTGGAAACTAAAGTTTGCGATGAAGTCTGTGAAATTGGAGAAACAACTTGTGGAGAAGATAGTAAACTGGAAGAAGATTTTGGCCAGGAAACCTGCGAACAACTGAGGGAGTCAACTTGCGATGATGAACTGTAAGGAGAAAGGTGAGAATCGACGGGCGAAGTGGAAGGCTGTGCTGGCGATTGAATAGACATCTGTGAACGAGTAGAAGGGATTGGCGATGGCAACGGCCACGATGATGAAGTTAGCGATTCCGAAGAAGAAAATCGTGATTGCGATCTGGGGAAACTGGCTGGCAAAGTCGATCGGTGAGGAGAAGAGACCTGCGCAGATCGCGATTCAGAAGGCCGACGTCGAGATCGAAGCTGTTCGCTCATCGCGGCAATAGATACCGCCATGTTTGCCGCCATTTTCTTTATTGCTGAACAGTGATCTTTCACCTCTGCTTTCATCTCCTCTATAATTCCTTCCATATTGTCAAAACTCTTCTCCATTCGGGGAGTCATATAGACTTCCTCCATAGTTCCAGATTGTTGTTGCTCTGAGATGATCGATGATTCCGATTCTCTGCCTCCAGGAAGAGATTGCTCTGATACCATTGATAGATATACATCAAACTGACAGTAAAGTGAAGTAGAATTAAAGATGGAATTGATGAACTGAAAGGATAACGATACAATGGAGACACTTCGAGTAGTCTCCAGCACTCCCAAGACCGTAGTCCCAAATCTGATTTCTGCCTAACTCCTTCTTCCCTCCTTCCCACTCCTATATAGTAATTATATTCTAACGGGCCAGCCCATATTTTATGACATGGCCCAAAATCTGTTTTACACATTACCACACTTATTTAATATAAATCTATTACTACTATTATTATTTTCTATAGCCCAGGGCCCTATCAGGTGTCATTTCTTTAGTTTGCCTTGGACGATAAAAAGCAGAGGAAAATACATGGGGGTCCATGTCATTTTAAGTCTTCCCTACATGAGAAGTATATTAAAAAAACAACTTTTCTGTTATTCCACTAGTACCCTTCCACTAAAAGGGCAGCCCGATGCACATTGGCATCCCCACAAGGCGAGTATCTGGGGAAGGGTCCCACAACAACGGTGTATAAGACGCAAGCACTCCCTTATCATTTTGACAAGCCGTTCCCACGATTTGACCTCTCTTGGCCTTGGTACTCTTGACATTAGTACCCTTCCACTAATGCATATAATTCCATTCTTATTTTTATACTAGGGAGATTTTTGTCCTATTATATGCCTCTTCTCGGGTTGGATGAGAGTATGACTTTGGAGAGAGCAAAGTGGAGGGAGATTATTCGTGTGGAGGAATGACCTCTTTCCATATTTTTATCCTTTTATCTTTATATTTTCTTTATCTTACTTATGTTCTCTATCCTTCTATCATTTTTATCTTATTTTTTATCCTTTTTATCTTATCATTTCTATCTTTATCTTGTCTTTTTTATTTTTTTTATCTTACCTTATCTTGTTATCTTACTTATTTTTTTTTCTTTTGTATCTATCTCATCTTTTTAACTCCGATTTCGTGTGTCGGTTCATGTTAGTCAACCCTAAATTCTTTTGGTATTAAGGCTTGAATGTTGTTGTTGTGGAGATGTTTGTCCTATAAAAATATCATATACTCATTTCTATCTTTTATGAAGCACCACTCAGTCCAAGCAATTTTCAACGCGATTTTCATTATGTGTCATCCGGAAACAGTCTCTATGTGCTTTAGCACAAGGGTAAGGCTACGTATAACTGACCCCCTTACCCCACCGTAGGTGGGAGCCTTTGCCGCACTGGGATAATGGTGTTGTTGTATACTCATTTCTATCTTTTCTTTTTATATCTAACCCACTAAAGAATAGAAAAAATAAATATTTATCTCTCCTCTTTTGCTTCTCTTTTATTCTTATGCCAATCCCACTATTTATTTATCTCTGTATTTGTATGCTCTTTTTTCTTGTTCCATTCGTTTTCCAGACCAAACAAAGCATATGGCATACAGACATACAGTTTAAGTGTATGTATATATTTTTGATCGTCTTCTATGCCTCCTCATTCATCTTCTTTCTCTCATTACTGTTATTATTATCAGATCAGGAAATATGGCAGATGTTGAGTACCGATGCTTCGTCGGTGGTTTGGCATGGGCCACCAACGATGACTCTCTCAGTCTAGCGTTCTCTACCTACGATGTCGTGGATACGAAGATTATTAATGATCGCAAAAACAGGCAGATCCAGAGGATTTGGATTTGTCACCTTAAGGATGAGGATTCCATGCACAAGGCTATTAACAAAATGAATGGCAGTGAGCTTGATGGACGAAACATCACAGTCAACGAGGCTCAATATCGCGGATCAGGAGGTGGAGGCGGAGGAGGCTACGGTGGTGGTCGCCATGAAGGTGGCGGTGGAGGTTATGGTGGCGGTGGAGGCTATGGAGGCGGTCGCCGTGATGGAGGCTATGGAGGCGCTCGCCATGAAGGAGGCGACCGAGGCTATGGAGGTGGTGGTGGAGGTTACAGTGGCGGCGGCGGCAGTGGCGCGCGTTACTCCAGGGGAAGAGGTGATTCTGAAGGGAACTGGAGGAACTAAGCTACAGATCTGATATCTGATCATTGTTGAAACTTTTCGTTTGATCCATTAGTTTAGTTGGTGCTATGTTTCTGCCATATCTATCATGCTGTACTTTGAGGTTCTGTTACGGTTTGCTTGGATTGATTAATTTGGGGTTCGATTGTGAAAAAAAAAGTATATATTTTATAATAAGAAAAGTGAAAATGGTTCTGCTAGAGCTTAAATGGTCAAAGAATCAATACCTGTCCTAAAAGCATTTCATTTAACTCGCTCATTGACGGTGTTTTTTCAACCCCATGAACCTGAAATAATACAAACTCCCTATTAAGTGCAAAACAGGTCATTCTTGAATCATACAGTGTTGTTTTTTATTTATTGAATTCTGGGAATCAAATTGAAGAAATGTAAATATGGAAAAACCTCTACTCCAGCTGGGAAGCAGAATGAAAGAAGATCCTTATATTTCAGAGGAAGTTGCTTTTCTGGCGGGTATACGAACAAGACCTATACGTCAAAAAAAAAGATATGATATTACATGCCAATTGCGATCAAATGTCCAGATTTGAAAGGGGGGAAATGAAAAACAAAAATTTTAAGGAATGGAACCTGAGGTTCAAGGTTGGGTTCCACCCGTGAATGGTTCTGACCACCAATAGAACCTCTAAATCTTCCGGATCCTTCAGATTTCCTTGAAAAGTAAAGGCTTTGAAGTGCCTGAATATCACAACTAGGATGAAGCCCAACCACTACCATGCTCTCAAAAAGCCTGGATGGTTCTTTCCATACTCTGTGATCCTGCAGACTTAAGTTAAGATAATTACCAAATAAAACAAAATTGCATAAATTTTTTACATGCACAAATTCTAGTACAGAAGAAAATTTACAAGAGATTGCAACTGTAAGCTGGCCCATTGGCGTTTTTGGCTTGTAAGTGTTTCTGGGTTGTAAAGCCCGCTTTTCGCTATGGGAGGACTTGATAAGCCTTTAATCAGTTTAGAAACTTGGTTTTGAAGTTTCTTCATTGGGCTACCACTGTCATCTTTGGAGGAATATACCACCGAAGGGCGTGGGGACCGCACAGAAGCTGCAGCTGCAGCAACTGCTTTTGCAACATCTTCAGTTGTCTGGAATAACGACGCTCCCCAACTAGGGCTGCCTGGCTCCTCTATTTTCTCCATACCAAGTATTTCCTCTCTCTATTACCCAAAAAGGAAAAAAGATACTTGATTATTTTTGTAAAATGATCAAAAAGATATATTTTGAGAATATATCTATATGTGTATACAGATCTTGATCTTTATAATTGCAGAAATCAAAAAGAGATGTCAATGATGAGAAAGTACCATTTTTTCTCCATAAATATTCATTCTTGGAAGAAACATACGTCTCTACCTGTAATGAAGAACAACAATTTAGACAAACTGCCTTAGCACTCAACCAAATTCATTGAACCATTTGAAATAAAGAAATAGAAAATGGGGGGACTTGGATAATTCCAATATACAGCTCCGGTTCCAACAGTGACTATAGACACCACTTTCTTATTGTGATTAACTTTTAAAGTAAAATTCTAAATAACACTATAACCAGCTCTAGCTTCTTCTGGAGTTCTGGGTCAAATAAATCCATCAAAACTTAAACAAGAGTTAGAAGTTTGTGAAACAAATCCCAAGAACTTGCGTATAATTCCCAGCTTTCCTCCAAAAGATCAAAACTTTATGGCCGTACACTTGAAGCACGTATGCTTACCCCGATTTTACATTTTTTTAAGCCGTGAAATTGTGAAATTTTCGATTTTGTTTTCATTTAAACGCATAGTAATCACCAATCGAAGCTTGACATGGCCCAATATACAAAAAGAGCAGCAAAATAAAGACTTGAGGGATCCATCAAATAAAGATTCACATGAAAAATATGAAATCCCACAGAAATCAAAGGAGTCGTGTCCATACAAATGTCATGAACGAGAAGAAAAGTCACCTTGTAGATTACCTGGGTTCTGATAGAAAAAATGAATAAGCACAAGTATTTCTGCGTCTATATAAATATGGATACTTCTCTATTTAGAAGATATAGATGTTGAAAAGGAAGTTATAGAGAGAGAAATGATATGGACTCGGACGGCCATGAGACAGACCGGAGCTCTTGATATTTTGGAAAATTCAGGAAACGCGAGAGGGAAGGGGAAATTTTCCGAGAAGGGGAAAAGGGGAAATGAATGTGCATAATAGTAATTAAGGTTGAATTAACTACTGTCATTATCGTCAGCAGAAGCGGAATGTATATGAGTAATTGTAATTAGGAGCGTATTACAGTAATTTATGAGCTTTAAAAAGAGATTCGTATACGGGTTTTTGGAAGCATTTAGGAAACGACAATATAAAAGGAAAAAGAAAATAAAGACTCTGAAACGTAATGCCTGGTGCATGACGGATGACACAACCACATTAGTGGACGGTCGTTTCTTGTGACTTTGTAAGCCTGGTTTGGAACATGTAGGACTAATGTGTCCGGTTTGATTTCATACCCGACCTTCTACTTTGAGCCCTTTACAAACGATAACGGGGTTGTTTGGATATTGGGATGGAGCAAAACGCCATTTTTTTTTACAAGGAAAACGCTGCTATTAGCAGTTGATTGGGCACAAACCGTTGGAATCCAAACCACGCCAATAACTCCATCGTGATACCCAGAACATGCCGAGTAGTTATCTATTGGTCGTCACATATCTCAGTATGTCCAGCATCGGTCAGGACCTCTTTTTGTGACACACTCTTCTTATTATGTGAGTTGCGTTCATCACTTTAACTCGTTCAAGGTTTTTGCTTGTTCTTTCTAAAACGTTAAAGTGATTGTTCAATGTTGAATGTCAACATCTTTGGCGGAGATGAGTTTTGAACTCGCGACCTCCTCCTTCCGAGTGTCATATTGGTATCATCAAACTACAAGGTGTTTGACTAAGACGTTTAAAGCTGTTAATATTAATTGATTTTTTTTTTTGACCGAAATTTAGATTTTTAACTATTTTAAAAGTTCGATGCAACTAAAACCCTAGAGAGAGATATGTGGCCGGTTTCCCTCACGTAGGAGTTCAAATTTGGCAGTGTTGTTCCGCTTGTTCAATCTCCGTCTAGGAGTGAAGGAAGTTGGCCCGATGGAGAAGTTGCATTCCAACCTTAAGGAGCGTTGAATGAACTCGAGCAGACTTACGAATGGCTCACAATGGTGGCAGGAGAAGCAAAGATATGTGAATTTTTTCAAACTGTGACATTTGAAATGGCAGTACCGATAACCAATCCTCCTCCCGAACCATCATCATGGAGTGAACGAGCTACCAGGGTTGTTTGGAAGACAAGGTTTCAATTGAAAACGCTTGAAACGGGAGGCTACTTGCGGTGTTTTGCTTTAATTTTTTCCCAAATTTTTATATTTATTTCGTTAGACAATTCCTCTCATTCAAGGATTGTGTAAGTGGTTTCTCAGTGTGTGTTTGTGTGTGGCTTGTTTGGAGGAAGTAACAAGGCTTATATATATATGGTCGATAATTACTTCGAATTCTCCGTGTTCAGTGACTAGTTGTGCTCATTTATGAGTAAATCATTCTATGCCAGATCACAGAGTGAGATGATGTGTTATCAAGACTCTAGTAGTAGGGAAGCGAGGAGTTGCGAGTTTGATGTAAGGTTTGTTATTCGTATTGATTTTATTTAAATGTTTCTTTTTAAAAAACTATTTTAAAAGTGATTCATATACATGATACATATTACGGATCTTTATTAACTTTGATTCTGATATAAATAAATAATTTATGGATTTTATGGAGTATTACATTATCTTATACTTCCTTCACCTCATTTTACTTGTCTTAATTGTCATTTTTATATGTCACAAAAGAGGTTTATGTTTAAGTCCACTTACGCTCAAATGAATTTGGTATCGATCGAACATTAGGTTCAGTTTTTAATCTGTCCACATTTATTAAGTGACTATTGTTTATTATTTGTATGTGATTCTTCCAACTATGTTTTTTGGAGCGTTTTTTTTGGATGAACTTTTTGGTCTCTTAGAGTATTTGTTTAATACTTCAATGTTAAATACCAACATCTTTTACTGGGATGAGTTTTGAATTTGTGCTACCCGAGGATTTGAGAGTATCATAGTAGACTTAGAGTGATTTTAAACACCAAATTTTTTAGTCGAGGACAAGGACAATGACAATAGTTTTATACAAATAATGGATCAAGTCAAACGCATAGACTTGATAATTAAGGGATTGGTATAACAGTGCAACGGACTATTCCTTATAAGTCAAAAGGTAGAATACAGAATAATAAATAATGATTCTCGAGTATGCGTTTAATCCATTTTCACCAAACAAGTCCAGATCCGCCAATTCTCAGGATTCACTCATTGACCGGTCTTAAAATACGGCACATTTTTTTGGTTGCAGTTAGACTTCTATCATAGTACTCGTATATAATACTTGCATCCTTTGTTATTGTCTTATTGTCTCATGGTTTATGATGTCTACTCACAATAAAGTAAACAAATCTCTGTCCGCACTCAGATTATTTAAAAAAAAAATTACATATTCAGAAACTACATTAAAAGGTTTAGAAAGTCGCAAAAACCAGAATTAAATTTGATAAAAATTTGAAACATAAAGTAAGAGATTAAGAGTGATTTGTGCTGAACAAGTGAATAGGGAATGAGACAATAACAGGGGCGGGGGAGTATTAGTTAAATGTTAATGTCTTTGAATCGAGATATGTTTTGACCTTGTGACCTCATCTTAAGAGTGTTGGAATAATTTGATCGAACTACAAGATGCTCCACAATATGAAACATATTATTATTATTATTGTTAACAGGTTCTCAATTAGCTTTTTTGGTGAGAAGACTTCGTAATAATTAACTAATGCAAAGGCAAATTATTAGACCACAGTAGTGAAGAAATAAAACGCAATTAGAATAAAAATGTGACCCTACTTTGAAATGAAAAGTCAACAAGCTTCAATAACCTGAATTTCGACCCTCTCTAATTAGTTACCCAAAAAATCTAGTTGTACATACTTTTTCTATATGCACCTCCTAATTGTCTGTATACACATGTAGATCATTAAGAACAAGATATCATTTGTTTCCCAATTGGATATGTACACAATTAGTGTATAAAAGTGTATAAAAAGTGTGATAATTCTTCATCAAAGTGGTACACCAAGAATTTTTCGTTACCCTCCATTCTTGCCCCCCTCCCTGCCTTGCTAACCTGCTTGTAGTCGTGGACTGTAGATCGATTCATGTACATTTTTATGGAGTACCTTTCATTTTTATAGACTATAGTCAAACATTTTGGTAGTAATTCTAAATTCAAACAGAGGATATAATAATGTATTTATTCTAAAACCATCACACAAAGTACGTGACTCAAGCAAGAGACATAAATATAAAAGAATGATGCACTCATTTTATTCAATTATTACCACTAGTGTCACTAATCTCCACCGGCCACCAGTGTCATTGACGCCGTTAGTGTTACTACGGCTCTGTTAGCAAGTGATTGTGCTTAAATAAAAGCATTTTTTGGGGAAAAGTGATTAGTAGTAAAAGTTGGTAGTGTTTGGTAAAATAAGTGCGTTTTGTGTAATAGAAAAAGTAAAAAGTAGATTCTACACAAAAACCGAGAAAGTAAAAGTTGGTATTGTTTGGTAAAATAAGTGTTTTTTTCTTAAAAAAAACCAAAAGCACTTAAATTAATTGTTTGAAAACAAAGCCTACATGTTGGAAAATATCACTGTAACCGCTACACAACTTCTAGTTCACCGTTAATTACTTTAGTTACATTTTAAAAAATCCAATTTCTATTTTAAAAATTGTAGAGGTGATCTGTATACTACACCTGTCCCACTAACATTAGGACATGAGGGAGGTAATGCAGTTATTAAAAAAATGAGTTTATGAGATTGACATTGAATTGATAAATTAAAAATAAAATAAGAATGATTTAAAATCACATAAATCGTATCAAAATTGATTTGAAACAATTTTAGTAAGATGAATCGGAAATGTGGTAATAATCTTGCGGGGACGGAAGAGGTATAATTCTTTACATTTGTATTTGTATGCCGATTAGTCAATTGACCCAATTTCGTGTTCTTTATAAGGAGTACTACCTATGGGTGAATGAAGTATACCCATGTACGGAGTATCAATTTTTTTTATAGCTACCATGTATCATTTACGAAGTGAAAAATGGTTAATCCGTATCCATCTAAGAAAAAAGAATCATTCCATGTTTTTATACCGTAATACGGAGTAATAGATCATATTCAGTCAACTTAGGCGACCGATTGACCGTTGACCCAACGGGAAAGTACTCGTCAAAAATTAACATCATTTTAGACTCTGACAATTTTTCAAAAATTAAACAATACTTCTAGTAGCCAAAAAAACTTTTACTTTTTAAGTGTCAATGTAATCATACATCCCATTTCAAATCTAGAACACATAATATGCGTTCTAATTTAGTCATTTTTATCAAACTCCAAATTAGCATTGATTAGCTCTATAATATTTTCTTAAACCCTGCATTCAATCAATCATGGTCATTTGACGGCATCTAGGACGACCTATGATTACCAAATTTTAAGAGTCCTAACTACAATCATAAAGATGACATTCAAAAGAAAAGAATTAATGCATTGTAATAGTAAAGGAAAAACACTTTCACACCGTGCTTGAGGCGTTTAAGCTAATACTACGTATCACTTTATAACTTTCTCAAATTCATTTTACTTTATCCCTAAAAAAATCATTTTACTTTATGATTTTGATAAACAATTTTACAAGATAGCTTAGTTATTAAACAAGAATTAGATAGACCCATTAGGCACAATCCATTAGATAGGAAACCACTAAACCCACCGGGCCACCATGCTATTTTAATTACTCCGTATTAGTATTACTATTATTATTAGTATTATTATTGAGATTATTATTATTAATTATTACGGGGGACGGGGCGGGGACGGTGCGGGGGTGCATAACCCATCACTCGCCCCATATTTATGCGGGGAGAAAATATCTCCCCCACCCCACCACCCGCCCCAACTCCCCCCCACGGGGCGGTTCCCCACGGGCCCCCGCCCCCATTGCCATCCTTAGCTTCAGGCGCCCTCTTGGGCGGGAACTGCAGTATATTTATTAATTATTAATTATTTATTATATATTATATTATTATTATTGTCCGTGTGGCAACCTTGAAAAGCGCTGCTTCGTATGCCGTGTTAATTAATGGCCGCATATAACATAGAATAGAAAACTAAATTGTTGCTTCGTATTACCCCTCTTTGGCCGCACTACATTAATTGGGGCACTATATAATAGTCTATAATATCGGGAGTGCATCTTCTTCAGGGCTCCAATAAAGACCATCTCTATCCTTTACATGCTCTTCAAGCTACCTTAGTTCCTGGACCAACTTGGCACAAACGTTTGGGG